ACAAGCACACTAGCATAAAGCCTCCAGTTTTGTCTTCTTTGACATAAAGAGCATGTTCATGTGGACATTTGGTGAAGCCATGGTCTTGGAAATATTTGTCAATGTGGCTATACCATGCCCTTGGCGCTTGCTTCAAGCCATACAACGCCTTCTTCAATTTCAAGACTCTGTCTTCATGTCCCTTGACAACATATCCCAATGGCTGTTGAACATACACTTCCTCTTCAAGATAGCCATTCAAGAAAGCGGACTTAACGTCCATTTGATAAATTTCCACTTGTTTTGAGCTGCCAAGGAGATGATCAACCGAATGGTTTCCAAGCGAGCAACAGGGGCAAAAACCTCATCATAGTCAATGCCATATTCCTGGATATAACCCTTTGCAACAAGCCTTGCCTTATATTTCTCCACTTTCCCTTGAGCATTTTTCTTCACTTTGTACACCCACTTCACGCCAATTGCCTTCTGCCCTTCAGGAAGAGTCACCAGCTCCCATGTGCCATTCTTTTGGATTGCTTTAATCTCTTCATCCATTGCATGCTTCCATTTCTTGTCTACTGCTGCCTCTTCGAAATTTAACGGTTCGATGTCAACAAAGAGACAAAAGAAACTTGGATTATCAACCACCTCAGTTTCTTCATAAATATCAGCAAGATTTTTTTGTACGAAGTGGCCCTTCAGAAGAACAATCCTCAAGTGATTGAGATCCATGAGGAGAGTGAGGTGGAGTAGCAACATCTTGCCGTGTGTCTTGTCTGGATTCTCCTTCTTGCAAAGGAAAGATAACATATTCTTCATTTTGAGAGACATTCCAATCCCATGAGCTTCCTTCATCAAACTTAGCATCTCTACTGATTACAATCTTCCCATTGGATGGATTGTAGAACTTGTAGCCTTTGGAGCTTGAATCATAGCCGATGAAGACAAATTTCTCACTTTTTCCATCAAGCTTTGATCTCTTCTCATCTGGAACATGAATAAAAGCAATACTTCCAAAAACA